TTTTTCTCTAAAATTATCGGCATATTCGCATATTTAAGAACCACATAGTTTACTTCTATTGTGGGCACTATCTGGTATCTATGTTAATAACTTTGCGTGTGGAAATTTTAAATTTCTTACCATTGCATGCAATAAATGATTAATTTTAAAATAATAACTTTTAGCAACTTTTTGTATCTATTATGATTTATTGTATGATTTTAAAGGTCGAAAACCAAAACCAAGAGATTTTAATCAACTATGCTAAATTATTTACAATAATTACATTAAAACATTTGCAGCATTTAACAATAGCAAGCAAAATCAATTTTAATCAGTACTGCGTCCATATTCCGTCTAATTATAGCTAATATTATTGCCTACGGAAACATTTGCGTCTTAGCTTTTAAGAAAAAATTATGTCTGAAATAGAATTCAAGGGTTTCGGTATATCAGTTATAACGAAACTGATAGTGTTTTGAGAAAAAATGCTCCTGCAGCAGAAGTGGGTTGCTGTAGCACGTTTCATCGTCCTTATGATTGCCGTAGATGGTTTATTTCGAAATAAAGTTCGAAACTTTAATTTTTACTTAATTATATTTACAATATATTTGCAACATCAGTCCAAATTGTGGATAGATGCTACCTATTTTGACCAAATGCAATATTAGTCTCTTCCCACAAGATAAATATAGCTTCGTGCAATTTTTTTCAAAATTTGAATAAATTTCCGATGAGATTAGTTTAAATTAAATACAAATTGTTAATTATTTTGTTTTTTTTATTCTTATTTATTGTTTATCACAGTGCGTTCAACGAATTGTAATTGCTTTTAGTTCATTGGTCGAAGCGTCTGGATGACTGAGATGGTGTCAATACCATTTCGGGTAATGCAATTGTAAATTATCGTGCAACAGAAACGTACAAAAATTAACACAATATTTTATCCTGACTCGTCGAATTCTGGCACATTACTTGGGCTCATTACTTGAAATTCTGTGACGAATTCACTGCGTCAAATTTTATCTCAATTTTTACCTCAACTCTTCCGAAAATATAATTTTCTCTCTTCGGCATACCCAATTTTTACCAATTTCAAGTAAATTTATGTCACACAACGTAGCGTGTCTACATATTAAATTTCATAACAAATTTTAAAATGTTTTTTTAATGTTTGTCAATAATGCTCATCTCAAAATATTTGTTTAGACTAAAATTTCTCATATTACAGTAAGTAAAGGCTGTATCACATTATGTACAGCCCAAGCCAATTGTTCGAAATAAAATATTCGTATAAATGAATACTTATGTAAATATTTCATTAGCATGACTTTCATCAAATATTTCAGTATACGTTTTAGAACTCAAAATAACAGTCGCGCAATTCGCATACTCGTTTATTTTACGGATATTAAGGTCAAATATTCTTGAAGAGCAGCAAAATCGGACTTTAAGTACTTGAGGAATATTTGCTAGAACTTGCAAGTAAAATTTACTTGCACGCGCAGAACTAAGTGAACAATTTGCTAATTTTTATTTTTTTGTTTGTACTGTACCCGTCTAAACTTCTTTCTATTTCTCACACGGTCATCATTTTCTAGATACTATTTCACACGATTTTGCCAAAAGCTGCTCAGCGATTTTTGAAGTTTAAATAACTCTTCGAAGAGTGAAGAAGAAAAATTGTTTTCTAAATGATGCTTGAAAATAAAGGTTTTCTGCCTTAAGCATTTCTTCTCATTCATTTTTATTTTGATATTATTTCATATTTTAATATGACAATATTTTAATTCATTTGTTGAAATTCATTTATTAATTGATCGAAGTACCTTTAATAAAAAGCACAATTCAAAAAGTTTTTCATTTATCGAATCGAGTCTTTTTTTGACATAAAAACTATTATTTAGGAAATAAATGCAATTATAAAGAATATATTAGAAACTTAAATTCGAAAATCAACTTCTTTTATTAACTTCAAGAATATATTTCAACTTAGTCCATGGAATGTTCTGTAAAGGATTGCCGTACTCCAACAGCAATAAAGCAAAATTCGTTCAAAACAATTTGTTGTGCTCTTCCATAGAAAACAATATTGTGAAAAAAATATTATAAAAGTTTTCATGAGGTCTCAGGTAATGAAATATCTATGACGAAAAAGTCAAACAACTGTTTTTAAAACAATTGTCTTTAAAAAATATTATAGGGTATTAGGATCATTAAAATGTCTTGAAAATCTGGAATTTGTCATAGTAAAACGAACTCAAGATAGAAAATTAAATAGTTTTAAAAGACAAAACTTAATGTAGTCTGACCGGCTGTTATTCAACTTTAGAGAGAGTGAAGTAAAAAATTCAATTTTAATTAAATATAAAAATATCATACACAAATATGTTAAATATGCATATCACGTTTATACTGGATAATCTATATAATCTATATTTCGATTACAGCTAAAAGAACAAATTTTGCAAAAAATTATATTTATTCATTACTTCCTCCATTAGAATATATAAGATTACAGTATAGCGTTTTTCTTGTATATAACAAAGTATGTTTAAACCATTTTAAGCATTTACGAATGGTTTCACAAAATTCAAGCAAAAGTCTTGAAAACAAAAAAACAATTAACAAATCAAACCAATTTTTACACTATAATACTCTGAATAATCAGTTGTTGTTTCTATTACATCCATAAATAAAATGAATAAGTTTCGAATAAGCGAATGCTGCTTTAATAATACCAACATACACAGTGGAAATACAGTCAAACTTCCATAATCGAAGTACCATTTTGCAAAGAGAAGGTTCGATTTATGGAGACTTCGAGATAGAGAATTTTTTTTTTTTTTTATTTTTGAAAAAAACTAAAATACATTTTAAGATATTTATTTATTTATTTAAAATCAAATACAGCACAGAAGTTATAGTTAAGTAAAATATTCAGAAATTAGGGTTTGGTATTTTAATTTGTTTTTATTATTTTCAATAAAAAGAAATTCCAATTTATTTAAAGCCTTATAGTGAATATCAGTTGGAGTATCATTTGTTAGTAAATAAAAATTCAGAATTTTAAATGAGTCCTCTACTTAATTCTTGGAAGGCTAATGAACTATTTTATCCACCTCATCATCACTTTTCGTTGCGCTTAGAAACGGATCCACAAATTCTGAGCTATAATCAAAAATATCATCTATAAAATATCTATAGGAAAGCTTGATGGATAAATTGCATTGTCAAGCTCAATATAATCGTTAAGAGCAGCATTGGAAGTTATTTTATTTACTTTAAACCACGCTGCCAGCGACTGGCTTTTGCAAAAAAAAAGGAACATAAAAAAAAATTAAACATTTGGTTTGGAAATAAGGACTTCCCCTAACATCAAAATGGATTCATACTTAAAACAAAAATTTGACTTATAGAATGCACTTTCCCAAATTTCTATTGGCACGTATATTTTTATTCGAGTTAAGAGAAATTGAGTTATGGAAGCAGAATTGTATGTAATTTGCTCTCTAAAACCCTGTTGCACTCTTTTTAGTTCGAGTTATAGAGGAAGTTTGACTGTAGTTATTCTATGTATTATATGTTTATCTACTTCAGTTATTCGTTCTACCATATCAAGCACCAGTAGTTAAGTTTGTGTTGTATGTACAAACCAAATAAATTGGTTTTAAATAAGCGAATTCTGAAATGCAAATGTAGAAAATAGTTTTTTTATATATTATGAGTAGTATTAATGAGTAGTATGATTAGTATTTAACATAAATAAGTTAAGTTGTTAGCTAAAGTTTTATGATATAAAGCAGTGATTCTCACTATCTCTTTATGCGCATGCACAAAGATTTGATGCATGCGCACTCCTCCACAATCAGATTGAGTATTAACCTCATAAAACATTTAGAATTACCATTGACTTATAAACATAATAAGATATGATGTGGTTTTAAATCCGTGATATTAAATTTTTGCAATTTAGCCATTACAAAAATTGTTAATGATTGCTTTAATGTAAAAGCAACATCACTGATTTAAACGTCTAGACGAAATTAATATGGAATTGTGTAAATATGGAATTGGATACACGACTAAAGAAGCGCGCTATTACAACAAAAGCAGCACTGAAGGTGGCACTGCTAAAGAGTGGCAAAATATTGGGCCAAAAACCACACAAAAATTGATTTCTTCGATTCCAAAGCAAAAAGTAGCTGTTAGTAAATAGAAGAACTTGGCCACTAAATATTAATTTTTATTGAAAATATTTTTTTAAATTTGTTTTTTAATTTTAGCATTAGCTGTACCAATAATTTTGTTCAACCAAATTTAGTTTTTTTTTTGGTTTTTTAATTTTAAAAAATTAAATATATGAGAAAATAAAATGAAATAAAATGAATTTAAATGCAAATTAAGCATTTTATCTAAAAAAATTTTTGTTGATTAAAAATCGCATCATTAATAAGATAAAAATAGTGCTAAAGTTCAATTTGCTTGTTGTGCCAATAATTTTGTTCAGCACTGTACATATATAAAGGGTTTGAATTTAATAGCTTGAATTTCTATTTTGAAATAAATGTAACGTTTGAAAATAATAAAAGTTATTATTAATGTAATGATGTGTATAAAAAAATGTTTGTGTTGATTCACAAATAACATAACACGTTGTCATCCCAAAACTTCATACAACTTTCTGTCGGCTATAAATTTTGAAAATTCTGGACAGGTGTCCCATCCCTCACTAACTAAATATCTAAATAACTGACAACCTATACCTCCATAAACTTCTAAAGAGTTTGTATTGTTTATTATTATTTGTTTATGTTAAAAATAGTAAAATATGTTTTTATGATGACTGCTAGCTTGTTTGCTTATTTGTTCAGCAAATAGCAACAGCAAAATTGATTAAATCCAAAATTAAACGCAAAATTTGTTATACAAATAAATAAAATTATTTTTTTTGCAATATTTTTGAGTTTTTTTTATAATGAATAATTTTAATTTTTTTTTCTTCTTCTCTTCTAGATATTAGCAATTTTACGATCAATGTCGTTAACAAGTTCACAATTAAAATTACTTAAGACCAGGAAAAGCAGAGTAACTTAAGTAAATAAAATTAGAATTAGTACCGTCTAACCACAGCAACTATTTGAGATTGTTTGCAATGTGATTCGCTTAAACAAGCAACCAATATACTGATATACCAATATTTAAATCACTCACCCAAGTTCATGTTTGGTTTGAAATTTAAGAGACACTAACATTCCGGTTTTTACACTTGAATATTTGAAATTTAGTCTGTGACTAGTGACTACGCAGCGATATACTTTTGTTGATAGTCAAAAACTGAACCACGGACCAGTGTCTTACCTAGTGTCGTTTTTACGTTTTTAGATGATAAGTTAAGCTAAGGAAACATAACATATACTCCATAAATACTAGATGATAAATATTGAAAGAAACGAGATTAATTATACAACAGAAATTATTAGGTATAAGCATCAGTGTAACTACAATAATACAAACCTCATACTAACATTAGAAGCAACTACTCAATATCTTCATCGTTGTCATTGTCATAATAATCACCAACGGTTACAGCAACGGCAACAATTATAATGGGCAGTATACATAACACCAGAATTTTACGTTTTTTATTAGTTTTATGCGCTGTGGTTCTAACAATTTTCATATATGCCTCATACTCATCGAATACTTCATTATCGCCGGCGCACATGCGCGTAGCTGGTTCACCATCAGCAATGTCAGCATCGGCGGCACTGTCATCATCAGTAGGTAATATAGAACAGACCAATACAAATAGCAATATCAACCAACAACAACAACAACAACAACAACAACAATCTTATGTGGCAGCATTAATAAAAAATTATAATAAAAGTAACGAAGCAAACTTTTATGCCGAAAACAAAAGTCCAAATAAATATAAATTAAACGGAAGTAATGGGAGTAATGGTTACAGTCACAATTCAATACAAACAAATGGTAATGATAAACATTACAAAAAAGATAACCAAATCTCCGCTGCGGCAGTAGCAGCCGCGGCTGGAGCATCGCCATATATCTTCAAGAAACAACATTACCGTGAGCCAACAATTGATGAAGATGCTGGTGGCGGTGGAGGTGGTGGTGGTAGTGCTTCTGCTGCAGCTGCAGATGGCAGCGGTATTGAGCGGTCGGTTGATGTTAAAGCAGCTATGAATAGTTTAGATGCTGCAGTGCCAGATGAAACAGCTTTAGAACGTTTTGCAAATAATGAATTGTTGGACGAACAGCAATATGGCCAAAATATTGATAATACGCTGGGTATGTTATTGACTTTTAAACGAACATCGTTAGCTAGCTGTTTGCTTGTTTAACCTGTTCACAGAATAATTTTCTTAACTTTCTTCTCTTCTGTGCTTGCTTAATTCATTTTTTTTTATTTTTGCAATTTACATTTAGGCAATATAAATAACTTGAGCGTTGTTAGCATTGTACAAACTCAAAAACAGTTGCAACAACAACAACAACAACTAATACAACAACAACAGCAAGACGGAAAAGAACAAGATCAACAACAACATATACAAATAGTCGATAATAATTTCAACAAAATACTAGACTCAGATGTGTTAATACCCACATCGAATCTACAAAAATTTATTGAGAATGCAGATAAAATATTGAAAAATATCACAGCGATACCACCAGCAGCCCCAGTACCGGTAGTTGCTACAGCAACAGCTACTGCATCAGTATCCGCTTCAGTATCAGCACCTGCCATAGGTGCACCAGTCACATTAATAAAATGTAAGTAGAAAATATGTGCCGGTAGTTGTTTTATGATGTAACTCAAAGCAGTCAAGTAGAGTACCGAATTAGGTCATTTATTAACAATTTCAACGCGATATGTAGAAGAAAACGTTATATCACTTTGGTAATAAGTTATTTTAACGAATTTTTTTTTTTTTTCCAAAAGAAGGGTTGGGAAGTAGTCACCGCGTCACTGCATCCTCGAGGATTATTGTGACATACCCACTTCAGTTCCATAGACGAGTAGCAGTTAAGAATGCCAGTATGTCCTTTGGAGAGATGTTGCCTAATTTCGTTATAAGCGGATAGGCAATGGATAAGTAGCGAAGTCTGAGTTTTGCAAGACTATCACAGTGACACAATATGTGTTCTGCTGTTTCCTCTTCTTCGTAACAAAGTCTACAGCTATCGTCTCTAGTAATACCTAGATTCAATAAATGTTTTTTTAACTCCGCAGTGTCCAGTTAGAAAAGCTGTGACAAGTCGGATGCCACTTCTGTTCAGCATAAGTACCTTCCTAGTTCTGGCTTTTGATCGAAACGGCATGGATTCTTTTGCTTGTCTGCAGGTAATTGTATTATCCCAATCATCCTGAGCTGCTCTTTCCAGCCATTCATTAGTTTCCGTGTACCACAGATGGTAGTCTCCAGCGAATGGAAGTATGTTCCGTTCCCATTCATTTCTGTCTGGTATTAGTATTAGGAACTTTTAGTGAAAGTTGAATTTAGGTAAGCAAATCTCAGATATGGTGATATTTAGTCCTTCCTCTCTTTGCATTTCCCTACCTAACAGGGAGTTATCGAGTAGTCTTGTTGATTGATTGCTAGTCAACTGTAGTTTGGCCATAAAAGTCATTGCTTCCTTTTTGACTAGTAGGTGAAGTGGGGGGAGCCCCAATGCAACCTCTAGGGCTGCTGTCGGGGTAGTTCTCATCGCTCCACTTGTCATTATGTAGGCTAATCTCTGCAGCTTACGAAGTTTATCTATCACAGTCTTCTGTTGTGCTTTTTTGTACCAGATAGCTGACACATAAGTTACAATTGGTCTGGCAATAGATGTGTACATCCAAAGGATGAGTTTTGGATTAAGGCCCCAGTGCTGTGAGGTTTCTGCTGGTCCATAATGCCTCTTTGGCTCTTCGTATAACATTGTCTACATGAGAATTCCACGTCAACTTCTCATCCAGAATCATTCCCAGATATTTTACTTGGGTAACGGCTGATAGCTCTTCTCCATTCAGGAATGGGTAATTGGAAAGTACTCTTTTCCTTTTCTTTGTGAAGACTACCAGACTTGTTTTCTTAGGATTTACATTTAATCCTACTTAACTGCACCATCTACTTACGATGTTCAGGGCTTGCTGGAGTCGATATGAGATCATGTCTTCATATTTACCCCTGACAAGTATGACTATATCGTCAGCATAGCCTTGTGCCTCGAAATGTTTGGCACTGAGTCGCTGCAAGAGCTCGTCCACTGCAATTGACCACAGGAGTGGGAATAATACACCCCCTTGTGGGCATTCTCTTACAGTATGTGCTTTTATTTCGGCATTGCCGAGAGTGGATTTAACCATTCTATTTCTTAGTACATTGCTTATCCATGTGCGTGTCGTATCATCTACTCCTCTGTCATGGAGGCATCTTTCGATATGTGAGTGATCAGTATTGTCAAATGCTCCCTCAATATCAAGAAAGCATCCCACCGCAAATTCTTTGCAATCTACAGACTCCTGTATTTTATTAGTAAGACTGAGTAATGCATGTGTGGTGGATTTATTTTGTTGGTAGGCGTACTGGTTGGCGTGGAGTGGATTTATAGATAAATACTCTTCCCTTATATGCCTTTCCACTATCTTCTCCATAGTTTTTAAAAGAAATGTAGTCAAACTTATAGGCTTATGGGAATTAGGAAGTTCGCTAGGTTTACCTCCTTCTTTAGGTATGTATTTGACAAGTGCTTCCTTCCAATTAGTGGGAATGATTCCCATCGCCAGCCCAGCTCTAAAGATATTAATGAGGTAGGGCATAAGGTGAGTTAGTCCCTTTTGTAGGAGTGCTGGAAATATTCAGTCTGCTCCAGGGGCTTTGAAAGGAGAAAATGAGTTGATCGCCCATTCAATTTTATCTTCAGTAAAGATTTTACGAGCAGTCTTCCAGTCATTGTTTCTCGGCCTTTTGGCCACCAGGGAACTAAGCTGGGAGATTGATTGGTCGTAAATTGTAGATCTCGGAAAGTGTACTTCTGTTAGAAGTATAAGTGACTCTTTGCAGAGTCATTGGTATAAAGACCATCAGGTCGTTTTAGAAGCCCAATGGGATTAGTGTGGCTTTTCGAGATGACCCTGTGGATTTTTGCGCTACTGCTTAAGTTTTGAATCTCTGAGCAAAAGCCTCTCCATGATTCTCTTTTTGCCCTTCTAATTTCTTTATTGTAGGCGGTGAGGGCATTTTTATAATTGTCCCATTCACCGTTGGTTTTTGCCTTGTTGAAGAGTCTCCGGAATTCGATTCTGTTGCACTTCTGTTGCCGGTCTTATTTTCACCGGACAGGCCCCATGGTAGGCATTTATTATAGTTGTGCTTAAGGCAGCATCAGCTATTTCTAAATCATGAATGTTGTTTATCGTATGTTTATTACTGCCTAGATTGGCCTTGAGTTTGTCAGTATAAAGATCCCATTCTGTGGCCCTAGGCACCCTATACGATTCCCTTACTTTCATATTTAGATCAATATCAAATCTTATCTGACGATGATCAGACATGGATGTTTCTGCTGAAACATTCCAGTTTTTGATAAAATGTTTTATAAATTGTGTAGCTAGGGTGATGTCTAATACCTCTTTCCTGATTCTGTTTATAAAAGTGGGCTTATTGCCCGTATTCAAAATATATAGGTTGTTACCAGTTATAAATTCAAATAGACACTCACCTCTTTTATTGATGTCGGTGCTGCCCCAGATCGTGTGGTGTACATTAGCGTCACTTACAACAATAAGTTGCCTCTTGCTTTTAACACTGTAGTCTACTAGTCCTTTCAGTGATAGGAAGTCCAGGTCTTGGGAGTCTCCAGGTAGGTGAGATGAGCAGACAATGAGCTCTGTCTTACTTACTGGGGTGTCCACAGAAATTATAGCTGCTACCTGGTCCTTGTTGGTGTGCTGTGGAATAATGAAAGCATTAATGTCATCTCTTACCACAATACAAGCACGAGGTCGACCATGGCTGGCATGATCGTACAGTAGCTTACCTTTTATTCCCTTTATCAGGTTCTCATATACATATGGCTCCTGGATAAAGGCTAGGTCAATCTTTTCAGATAGAAGTCAATCAGCCAAGGGTAGACAATCAGCAGTCTACCCTTGGCAGAGACATGACCATATCAAGAGCTTCCCATCAGCCTGAGATATTGTCGCACTTACCCTGACGAGTCTGGCTGATAAGCTGGAACTTAGTGGACGGTCTTTACCGCCACCTACTCCCTGAGACGCTAGAGTATTGTTTAGCCATTCAGACCTTGCCAGCTTGCAAAAACAAAGAGCCTATCTACAAACTAACTACTACAAAGACTACAAAGACCACAAAACTACAAACTACAAACAACAAATTAACTACAAATTTATAACTAATTACTACCACTACAAACATAGATTACAAAACAACACATTCTACCTTAACCTACTGATAGATCTTGGTTGCACTTCTTGCTCTAATCTCAATCAATATTCCAGTCAGTGACATCAGTGATAACACTGACTGGAACATTAATCAGAATAGCTCAAGTTGTATCTAAGCCCCTACACCACGACAAGGTGCCTACCACGTAGAGGTTAACCAATTAGTCTGGTTCAAAAATAAAAATAATAAATCTAAACTTATTACGCTAAGCTGTCAATAATCTCCATACTCAATACCGCAATGTCCGAACAAAATCTTTATTGTAATCTCTATAATGCGAACAGATTAATTTTCCCTTCATATTATTTTCATACCTAAATCCTACTTTTTTATACGTATTCGAACAATTTTATTAATTTTTTTTAATTTTAGCTGTTAATGTAGTGATATATGTGTATGTAGTTTCTGTAAGTTCGTTTGAAAGAATGGTAGATAGAATTTGATGTAACTTTTATTTTGTAATATGAAACCGTACAAAGTTAATCTCTTGATAATCTGAACATTTCTGTTTTCGTGCAAAACATTTGGAACATAGTTATCCGAATCTCTCTATTAATTTGATTGTCTATCAAGGTACAGGGCAGACGTGTAGCCCTGCACCTGTCTCTGTCTGTCTGGTGCAATATATGTATGTAAACTAATGTATCTATCTGCCCATCAATATATCTGACTGTCTATCAGTATGTCGTACCAACTGTATGTTGGTATATACTACTGTCAATCGATATATTTAACTGCCTTTCAAATTATACCCATCAAAATATTGGGTCTATAAGGAAATCTTTGTTTGTTTATCATTCTTATCATTCTTAGTTTGACTTATTCTTTCTGTTTTCTTTTATTTGCTTGACTTTGAACCCAGTCAACATAACTGGCACTTTTTACTGTATTTCAACATAGCTTCTCAAGACATATTGCCTATATGATTTTCAGTATAATCGTATGAAATATTACAACAACATTGTAGTTATGCTCATGAAATTATTATAGGCGCAGTTATTTTTTCTTTAGAATATTTAATTAATAAGACTTTATATGCATTGTCGCTAATGATTTCTAAATTCAGCTAAAGTTCTAACAATCATTTATTGTAGCTCTATCTTTAAGGGCGAGAAATTTTTAACCTTGAAATACTTTAAATATGCACTTGCACTTGATACTTCAGTTGCAAACTTGTTTATTAATTAATAATTTTACGATTTATATTACCTCATCAATTAGAGTTATTCTTTATCGAAACCCAAGTTAACAATCGTTTATCTAACAATCGAACAATAAATTTTTTCATTTATTTATATTTTCATATTAATTAGTATAATA